GTGTCTTGGGGGGGGAATCGAGGACCCTCCCCCCCCTCTTTTGGTCGCTGTACTACAAGACGGCCCCAAGAAGCCCCCCCCAAAAGCTCCTCCAGGGCTCCCACAAGGCCCCCAAGAGGGCCCCAAGACACGTCAAACAGAGCCCCGTGCAGACTTCAGACTCTTCCAAAAGGGCCCCAAGAGGGCCCCAAGAGGGCCCGAAAAGAACATTGAGATGCCCCTGAGGAGACTTCAAAACGGGTCCAAGAGCTCCCGTCGTCGTTGTCATCGTCCTCCTCCTCCTCCTCCTCCTCCTCCTCCTCCTCCTCCTCCTCCTCCTCCTCCTCCTCTTCGTTCTCCAAGTCATCGTCATCCTCCTCGTCTTCGTTTTCGCCATCGTCGTCGACTTCCTCCTCCTTCTCTTCCTCCTCGTCCTCCTCATCCTCCTCCTACTCGTCCTCCTCCTCCTCCTCCTCCTTCTCCTCGTCGTCATCGTCCTCATCTTGTGCCTTGCCCTGGCCGTAGTCATCCTCGTCCACCTCCTCCTCCTCCTCCTCCTCCTCCTCCTGCTCGTCCTTCTCCTCCTCCTCCTCATCCTCCTCATCCTCCTCGTTCACCTCCTCGCTGTCCCAAGAGGGTCCCGAGGGAGTCCCAAGCAGGCCTCAAGAAGGAACAAGGAAGATCAAAACATCACACAGATCCTCACCCTCCTCGTCGACATCCTCCTCCTTCTCCTCGTCGTCGACATCGACCTTGTCGTTGTCCTTTTCCTGGTCTTCATCCCCGTTCTCGAAATCGAGACCTCCTCGTCTTTGTCCTTGTGTTCGTCCTCCTCCTCGTTTCCTCCTCTTCCTCGTCCTCCTCGTCCTCCTGCTATTCATCATCGTTTCCTCCTTGCCCTCCTCTGGTCGTCGTCCTCCCTCCTTCCTCGTTCCCCTCTTCCTCCTCGTCGTTGATCCCATCCTCCGCATCCTCCTGCTCTCCCCTCCCTCCTCCCGAAGGCAGCCACCGAAGGCAGCCACCCAGCGTGGGCCCCGAAGGCAGCCACCCAGCGCGGGCCCCGAAGGCAGACCCGAGAGCGCTTCCGCTTCCGAGCCCCCCCCTTCTCCTTCGCAAGGATCTCTCAGTCCACGATCGATCGATGCCCACTTGGTTTTCACTATCACATGTCTCTCCTTCCTTTCCCCTTGTCAGCTTTCATGGGATTGTTTTCTGGATGGGTTGGTCGGGATACGTTTTCCCCACATGTTTCGTGGGGTTCTGGTGGTCGTCCCTGCAGCGGCGCACCCGCGTCTCCTCACCTCCCCTCCTCCCTCTTCTTCCCCACATGTTTCGTGGGGTTATGGTTTTCATCCCTGCCGCGCCGCACCCGCATCTCACACCTCCCCCCATCCCCTTCTCCTTCTCGCTTGCACACGGACATGCAAGACGTATGCGCCACATCCTGGCATCCACATGATACGCACGTCCACATACAGCCCGGTGGTCGTCCAGGCACAGCAGGCTTGGCACTTTCCCGACACCAGAGGGGGTGCGCAGGGGGTGGTCCCTGAGCCCGGCCGCTATGCACGACGGTCGTCCAGGCACAGCAGGCGTGGCACTTTCTCGACACCGTAGGGAGTGCGCATGGGGTGGTCCCTGAGCGCGGCCGCTATGCACGACGGTCGCCCAAGCATAGCAGGCGTGGTACTTTCTCGGCGCCACAGGGGGTGCGCAGGGGGTGGTCCCTGAGCTCGGTTGCTACGCGCGACGGTCGTCCAAGCACTGCAGGCGTGGCACTTTCTCGACACCACTGGGGGTGCGCAGAGGGGTGGTCCCTGAGCTCGGCCGCTATGCACGATGATCGCCCAGGCACAGCAGGCGTGGCACTCTCTCGACACCAGAGGGGGTGCGCAGGGGGTGGTCCCTGAGCGCGGCCGCTATGCACGACGGTCGTCCAGGCACAGCAAGCGTGGCACTGTCTCGACACCGCAGGGGGTGCGCAGGGGGTGGTCCCCGAGCGCGGCCGCTATGCACGACGGTCGGCCAGGCACAGCAGGCGTGGCACGTTCTCAACACCAGAGGGGGTGCGCAGGGGGTGGTCCCTGAGCTCGGCCGCTATGCACGACGGTCGTCTAGGCACAGCAAGCGTGGCACTGTCTCGACACCAGAGGGGGTGCGCAGGGGGTGGTCCCTGAGCTCGGCCGCTATGCGCGACGGTCGTCCAGGCACAGCAGGCGTGGCACTGTCTCGACACCAGACGGGGGCGCAGGGGGTGGTCCCCGAGCGCGGCCGCTATGCACGACGGTCGTCCAGGCACAGCAGGCGTGGCATTTTCTCGACACCCGAGGGGGTGCGCAGGGGGTGGTCCCTGAGCTCGGCCGCTATGCGCGACGGTCGTCCAGGCAAAGCAGGCGTGGCACCTTCTCGACACCACAAGGGGTGCGCAGGGGGTGGTCCCAGAGCGCGGCCGCTATGCACGACGGTCGTCCAGGCACAGCAGGCGTGGCACCTTCTCGACACCACTGGGGGTGCGCAGAGGGGTGGTCCCGTGGTCCCTGAGCTCGGCCGGTGTGCACGACGGCCGTCCAGGCACAGCAGGCGTGGCACTTTCTCGACACCAGAGAGGGTGCGCAGGGGGTGGTCCCTGAGCTCGGCCGCTACGCACGACGGTCGCTCAGGCACGGCAGGCGTGGCACGTTCTCGACACCATAGGGGGTGCGCAAGGGGTGGTCCCTGAGCTCGGCCGCTATGCACGACGGTCGTTGTGCACTGCCGTGCCGTGCCGTACAGTGCCTTTCGATGGTGCAGGGCCGTGCCGCGCACTGCCGTGCACTCCCGTGCAGTGCCGTTCCGTGCCGTGCCGTTGCACTGCCGTGCCCTGCACTGCCCTGCCGCGCATTTCCTTTCGGAGGAGTGCGGTGGAGTTGAGAGAAGTGCGGAGGAATTGAGAGGAGCGCAGCGGAGTTGAGAGGATTGGGTGGGACGAGGAAGAGGAGAAGGAGGAGGAGGAGGAGGAGGAGGAGGAGGAGGACGACGACGACGACGACCACGAGTGCGGCGACGAGTACGACGAGCACCACGAGTACAACGAGTACGACGACGACGAGTGCGACGACGAGTGCGACGAGCACGACGACGAATGCGAAGACGAGTACGACGGCGAGGTACAACGACGAGTACGATGACGAGTAAGACGATGGAACGGCAACGAGTACGACGACGAGTACGACGAGTACGACGACGAGTACGACAAGTACGACGACGATTCGCGACGAGGGTTTAGCACGCAGGATTGCGCATATATGATAATGACAAGCAAACACCTAAGATTGAAAATCTGTATTTGAGGCTCCTCGGTAGCGTCATTGGTCAGCGACCGCGGGCGAGCGCGCCGGCGGCGAGTCCAGTCAAAGCGGGGCACGCAGCGACGAATTAAACTAAAGCGACGGAGAAAGGCCACACCTACAGCGGCTAACCGGGACTTCACGCAGCAGCTCAGCGGCGGACCGGCGAGTGGGGGGCAGCTGAAACTGAGTCGTACTGCTAGCGCGCAAGTATGCATAGCGTCGGAAACACCAGGAAGTCGGGACACACGACGACCCGGGTCAGAAGCCGAAATTAATGCATGGACGCAACCCCGGACAACTGCGTGAGTACCAGGGAAGGCTGGTCGGAATACGCGAAGCGTCACGAATGTGGTGCCTCTCTGGCCCGAGCGTTTCAGAGTAAATTGAGCCATATGGGTCCCTAAAGCGGCCAAAATTTAGTCCCAGGAAGCTCTGAGAAGCAAAAAGGATGGCATCTGGTCTGCGAGCCGTTCCCTACAGAGCCCCAAATGGCTCTCAGTTCAATGTCTTGAATGTGCCACCGACACGTCGACACAAACCTCTGATCCACCCGCAGAGCCGACCCGGACACTGGTAACCACGCAAATTTACACCTCAAAGGCATGAACATCTCCAAAAAAGATCGGGAAACCACTCTCATGATTGCTTCTAAAAACGCTTCGACGGCCATGGAGACGGCACCGAAAGAGCCCTAAGAGAGCCCCAACACGGTCCAAAGAGGGCTCCCAGAGGTGCTCGAGATGGTCCAACAGAGCTCGAAAACGGCCCGAGACCCGTCACGGCCTAAGAGAGACCCAAGACAACCCAAAACGGCCCCACGACGGCCCAAGAAGCTTCAAGGAGGACTCACGAAAGGCCAGGAGGGCCCCGAAAGGGCACCCAAAGATGCTTAACACAACCCTTCGATCTGGCTCTGCTCCCGCAGTTGCAACTTGTATTGCGTTCAGTATGGAGCATGGGCCGCACATGCCTGGCACGAGGTTCGTGTGATCCGCTGTATGCGTCATCAGAACAGTAAAGAAGAGACCCCAAAAATGGGGGTATGGGAGGGCGCTGTTAGCCGCAGCCATGGTCTCCTCCCCAGGGCTTCGGAGAACATGCACACTCAGCCCGAGCAGACAGGATTGCCTGGAGGGCAGGGGCACTTGTGGCCGCCGCCCGCCTGCTCAGACACTCTGCGAAGCATAGAACGTCTACAGTCAACCCGTAGAGTAAGGATGCGCGATAAGGATGCAAGACCCTTGGACGCCCGTTTCGAAGCTTCTCGAGCAGGGCGCGGCTAACGAGAGCGGTCAAGGATAGACCGAAGAGGCAAGGATGCGAGGGGACTCTTGGGAAGGTCGCCCATCCTTACTCTGCGGGAAGGTCGCCCATCCTTACTGCTCGGCCGTCATGCAGGGCAATGATGGCCTTGCACGCGGACATTGAACCTGCGCTTGCCGCCACCGCCGTCCTGGCCCTCGGCCGCATCCTTGATCGCCCGGCCGCCGTCGGGGCCCCAATTGTTGCCGCGCAAGTCTATCATCAGGGTCTCTTCCGGGGTGCACTTCGCCTGCACATACCGGAGCGCTTCTGCGATCAGGCGGGCCTCCCGGTCTCCCCAGCCCAGGAGCTTCTGCTCGATAAAGTGGCGGCCGCTCGTGGTAACGTACGTGTCGAACGCGCGTCTGAAGCCACGCTCATACAGATGAATCACGAAATCCATATCAGCTTGGTGCGCCTGAAATATGCACAGGGCGTTTGCTTTAGCGTGTTCAGCTCGGCGTCTTGGAAAGCATGTGTTTTAGCGTGTTCAGGTCTCAACAAGAAAAATAACTACAAATGCTAAAACAATGGTGCTTCGATTTAGTGTTCTCCAATATTTGTTTAGCGTCTTCAGTCTGAAATGAAAAAACAACACGACGACCCTGAAAACGCTCACAAAACGTAGCGTTGTTTTAGCGTTTTCAGCCTGTCAAGAGCCCAATATCGAAAACGCTGAAAAAACGCCCAGGGCGGCTTTAAGGCGAACCAAGCATATCAGCGTTTGACGTGAAGGCGAGGCCACCAGACTCGACGTTGGCACGCATCTCTTCGGCGACGCGATCGGGGCTGACCATGGGTGGACGATTGGCTTCCATTTGCTGCCGCATGTCGAAGACAGCGGAGACAGCGTCGGAGTGGGAACACCCTTGATACTTTGAGAAATCCCACAAACAATGCTTGTCTTTGACGATCGCGCTGAGGTGCTTCTCGACGTAACACCAGCCGCGCTGCTCGTACGGCCGTCGGTTCGTGTGCTCGGGCCTCTCGGACGCGGGCGTGTTGATCATGAGCACGTGGGTGAAAGGATGCGTGTACCACAGATTCAGCTCGGTCTTCAAACCTCGAAAGAAGCGCTCGCTCTCTTCGTCCGTGCGCGGGACCTGCGGATCGGGTCGCCCCACCCTACTTCGGGGCACAAGGCTTGTGCAGACTGCTGCTGGAGTTCGATGCTGTCTCCTGTGGTGTGTCCTTGGCCTTTTGTGTGCTGTCACTCCAGCCCTGTCTCCTTTCCACTGTCTAGTAGGGGGGGCCCACGGCGTCACGCAGTGCACCGTGCACCTGGGGATCGGGTCGCCCCACCCTGCTTCGGGGCACAAGGGTTGTGCAGACTGCTGCTGGAGTTCGATGCTGTCTCCTGTGGTGTGTCCTTGGCCTTTTGTGTGCTGTCACTCCAGCCCTGTCTCCCTTCCACTGTCTAGTACGGGGGGGCCCACGGCGTCACGCAGTGCACCGTGCACCTGGGGTAGGTGTGTGTGCCTTATCCTCGCTGGGTTGCCCCAGGGTCCCGTATGGACGCCACCTACGGCCAAGAGGTTCCGAGAGGCTTTGAAGACGACCCCGAGAGGCGCCGAAGACAGCATCGAGAGCCCAGGACCGCCGAAGGCGGCCCCAAGATGCCTCTTAGATGGCCCGGGAGAGCCCAAAGAGCCCAAAAAGGCCCCGACATGGCCCCACCCCAAATGGGCCTCGAAGGCTCCCAGATAGCCCCACGATGGCACAACATGCTCCAAAGGAGGCCCGAGAGGCTCAAATTTGCCCGCCCGAAGATGGCCCAAGACCAAAAACTGCCACAACAAATCAACGAGATGGCTCAGCCTGGGGGACGGCGGCAGAGGGCAAAGCCCTTCAGATAAGAGGCGTAATCTTGTAGAATACCGATTGTGGCGTGTTCTCCGTGCTCTTTCCTGGTGTAATCCAGCATTGCCTTGAATATGGGAAACACTGCCTTCATCTGTTCGCCCACGGGGTCAGGATGTTCGCTTGAGAGCCAGCAGTACGTTAAACAAATCACAGGTAATGACAAACAATGGTCCCAACTCCGAAGCCGCCACACGTTTGAGGGGCCAATCTTGGCGCATTCCGGAATGTCTTGCCAACGAGGCAATGTGCCGTTGGCCTGGATCAGTGCAACGTAATAATTTACATCAATCAGACTGGTGTTCTGGAGTAGGGCTTCCATCGCTGGGCCACCATTTCCTCCCCACGAGCGGCTCACCATTTTCTTCGTCTCGTCCGAGGCCGACTCGGCTGCATCGGCAACAGCTTGCTGCAATTCTGCAGCTGCGCGCTGCTCAGGTGTACCGTTCTGCGCAAATCGATCACCTGCCATTATCTCCATCATTTTCCGCAAGCTCTCATCCTCGGTCACCATCGGCCGATGAGTTTGCTCCACATCTGGCGAGGGCGCCGCAACTCGAGGAGCATCGGTGCGCGAAGATGCGTGACCACTTGTTTTGGCGGAGCTTGGGCGCCCTACTTTGCTGTCGCCGCAGCCCATCGCCGAAGCACGCTGCGCCGACACTTCTCGAGCCCAAACATCCACTGGCCCAGGCGGGTCGCCACGACCCACACACACACACAGACACACACACACACACACACACACTCACACACACACACAATGGTACGCCCCGCAACGGCCAGGGACACGCCCTCCTCGGGGTCTCAGAGCACGACTCGCCGACCTCCGCCCTCGAGGTCGCAGCGTGCCCTCGCCGCAGGCGGGATCCGCCGACACTGCCGGCGTGTGAGGGGGGAGTTCTGGGCTCGTCCGTCCAGGGGCGGTCCTGGGAGACACCATGCACTCGAAGCCGTTTCTCCCTGCTCAGTGACCACGTTGGGCTCTCTAAGCTCACCAGCCCGATGTGAATCGAGCCAGGACAGAATCACGGACGTCATGGACTCGCTTGGAAGCCCCTTCCCGTCGATCCCTTCCCCACCCTCGGGGTAGGTCATGGAAGGGGTCATGGGCGGGGTCCTGGGGAGGATCTGGGTCGGAATACGATCCCTCCCCTCCCATCTGTCAGGCCATATTCCGCCAAGATTGATCCGTCTTCGGTAACTTAGATCCCAGACGGTCCAAGAAGTACCGGAAACAGTCTGGGAGCGCTCCAACACAGTCCTGCCTCTCGGGCTGGGCGAAAGGAGGGAATAGCAAAGGGGGGGGAATCAGCTCACGTTGCTGGTTTTCCCAGCGCCTCCCGGCGCCGGAGGCGGCCACGTATCGAGGAATGGGCCCCTCGGCGGGGCCGAAACCAGCTGCATGCAGCAGATTTCGTAAACTCCCTTTTCGGCGATGGACAGACCTCTCTTTAGTAGACCTCCCCTTTGTGAAAACGGCCTGGGACCGAAACCGACGGACCTGGACTCGCAAAAATGACGGCCGCGACGCCCCCTCGCGAACCGAAAAAACGGCCAATTCCTCAATCGACGTGTCAGGGTGAGAGGTGCATCCACCTGCGAATGTATCGAGAAATGGGACCCTCGGTGGGGCCGAAACCAGCTGCATGCAGCAGACTTCGTAACCCCCCCTTCCCTATCCCCCCCTTTCGTCCGGCCCAAGCCTCACGACAGCCAAAGACTCCCCAAGACGCCCGAATAAGTGTGGATGCCATGACAATGGACACTCTAACAAACCTATCATTGAATTCAAGATGTGTTTAAAATGTGCAAAACATGTTCTACAAATGTTTCAAGCATGTGTTTAATGTTTTAAACAGTGTTGAAACATCCTTTAGACATCTGGAAATTATTTGGCAGCATGCTTCCTCTCCATTGATCGCCCTCCACAACCGAAGAAGGCTTCAATGGGAACCCCCAAGATAGCCCCCCAAACGCAATAATCAACGGTGCTCCGTTGGCTTCGATGCCTTGTCGCGTTTTCGCTTTTTACGTGCTTCGGAATGCCCAGGGCGGTCCAGCAGGGCTCCATGTCCGTCTCAAAACAGCCCCAAAGAGGCCCCCAAGAGGGACCGCCGGCAGCCCAAGACGACCCCGAGACGCCCCAAGATGCCCCCAAAGAGGGCCCAAGAGCCCCCAAGAGGCCCCCAAGAGGGGCCCCAGACGGGGAACCCGAGCTGCAACTTCGAGCCAGACCTCCAAAGATAGCCTCCGAGACCGCCAGCAGGCCCAAAGAAGACCCCCAGGACCCCCCCCTTCTGAGGCTCCCAAGACGAGCCCAGGAGACCTCGAGAGGCCTCAGAAATGCGTTTGACGGGCCTTCAGAGAGCACCCCCCGAGCGAGCCTGCACGAGCAGGCGACCGTGCTGGGGCCCCCCTCCGATCCCCCATTCAGGGTCGGCCGGCCTGGCCGCAAGGCCCCTCCGGTACAGAGCAGGCTGTGAAACCCCTCCCTCGGGGCTCAGAATGGGGGCCTCGCGGCCCCCGCTCGGGCGGGTGGTACTGGGGGGGTGGCCTGCATGGGGGGTGAAGAGAAGAAGACCCGAAGGAGGAGGAGGAGGAGGAGGAGGAGGAGGAGGAGGAGGAGCAGGAGGAGGAGGAGGAGGAGGAGGAGGGATCCTTTCGGGGGGCCCTGCTGGCTCCAAGAGGGGCCCTGCGGTGCCCTTCCCTCCGCTCTCCGTGCAGGCCACCCCCCCAGCACCACCCGCCCGACCCGCGCATCTCGCCACCGATCCCGGCCCGTGCAGCTGGGCCACCGCGCCTGCCTCCGCAGCACCCGCGGGCTCGTGCGGCAGCCACGGCCCAGCCCTCCGCAGCGCCCCCAGGGGCCTCCGGGCGCCGCCTGGCGGAAGGCCTCGGGCTGCCGCCGAAGCAGGGCGGCGCCCGTCACAGGGGCACGCGTGCGTCCAGGACGGTCTGCCAGGGGTTCCCTGCGACTCCCTGCGCCTCCCTGAAGGAGCCTCACGGCCATCGGCGCTGCCGCAAGGAGCGCCGAGTGGTGGGGAACGAAGGGGCCTCTCGGGCCACGGCGAGCCTCGGCCACGCATGGGCTCCCCGACCTGGATTCCAGTAGCGGCCCCAAGCCAGAGCCCCTCCGGATCCAAAACGCGGTATTTAGTTCAGCGCCGTGACCGTATGGTTCCCTCAGGTTCCCTGGAACTCCCTGGCGCTCCTGGGAATCCCACCAGCCCTCTGGGCGCAGGTGATCTGGGGCGCTTCCTTTTCCAACCTCTTCTTTCCGTGCTCGGGAGGTTTACCTCCCCTCCCCTCCCTGCGTCTGGACTGGTTCCCCTGCGAGGTGGAAGAGGGCCCTTTTCGGCCCAAGATGGCTCCAAGAGGGCCTCAGAAGGGCGCAAGATGGCCTCCAAGATGGGCCAAGATAGCGGTAGATGGGTCAAGATAGCCTCCGACACACGTCCAAGAGGCCTCAAAGCGGCCCAAAGACGGTTTCAAGTGCTGTCCGAGGCCTCCGAAAACCCCCCCAAGAAACCAACATCCTTCAAACATCTACGGGACAACAATGTGTTTTGCCTTCTCGCTTTTTCGCCTCCGACGGGCTCTTGAGGCCTCAAAATGGCCCCAAAACGGCCCAAGATAGTCCCACGAGGGGCCCGAGAGGGCCCCAAGACGGCCCCGAGAGCGCCCAAAGGCGCTCCAAGAGCGGCCCAAGAGGGCCCCAAGACGGCATGTTTGAGCCTCCCAGGGGGCGATGGGACTTGGAACCCCCCTCTTTTTTAGCGATAGGGCCCAAGACGGCCTCAAGAGGCCCCTCACGCATCCCAGAAAGCCGTCAAGAAGGCCCTCAGACCCACCAAACCCCCAAAATGAGCCCCAAGAGAGCCCCAGGACGCCCCAAAAGAGCCCCAAGAGGGTTCCAAGAAGGTCCTAAGATGACCTCAGTAGACCCCCAAGAAAGAGCCCCAAGAGGGCCCCAAGAGGGCCCCAAGGGAACCCCAAGAGAGCCCCACGATGGCTCCAAGTTTCGAAACGAACGCGATTTCCAGATACAAATCAGTGCAACAGCCAATACGAGTCATCGAAACACCCCTCGCACCTCGTCGAAGCACCATCGTAGCTTGCACCGATGTCCATATTAATCTTCAATGCG